TCTCTAATTAACCCATTCTTTTTCCCTGACTTCCAGACTTCCACTCATCTGGGCTCTTTATGACTTTACTGGAATTTCTAACAAGTTTTCAAACCTAAGCTATGTCCAAAACCAAAGTCTCACTTCCATTCCTTTCCCTTAACCATCTAACCACTGGGGAGGTCTTATACTTGATCCTTCCACCGATCTCTGCTCTATCTACCTTAAAGTTATCATGGATTTCTATTTTTCTTTCATACTCCACTTATCAACAAAACTAGTAATGCTACCTCCAAAAAGTTTTTAGAATTCACCAACATCTCTTTGCCTCCTCTGAAACCATCCGGGTTTAGAATTACTGCTGTTTCTCGACTGAATTATCACAGAGGTTCCCTGCCTCCTCATTTACTACTAAACTGTCAGTTCTCCATTCAGCAACTAGAGTGATCTGAGTCAATTCATCTCGCTTCATTTCCCAAGTGATGAGCCTGTTTATTCAAATTCCTTGAAAAGACATAATTATAGAAATGGAGAAGAGATTAGTGTTGTTAGGAACTAGGGGTTTGGGGAAAGAGGATGAGTAATAATCACAAAGGAGTATATTGATACAGTTTCTTTGTGATATTGGAATCATTCTATATCTCATAGTGGTTAGATGTGTTTACACATGGTTTACAAATAAAAAGAACTACATACACAAATGAACAAATGAAAAGAAAACTAGTGAATTCTAAATAAGGCCTATGCATTGTACCAGTATCAATTTTATGGTTTTGATATTGCATATCATTTGGTGGGGTACAGAAGTTAGAGAATGCCAGATGAGTTGTATACCTCCTGACTTCTGAACTTCTTGCCATTTCCTATGAGTCTAATTTTGCACAAGAAAGTTTTGAAAACACTCTACATACATGCTATCCCTTGAGACTTCGTATTTGCTGTTTTTCCTACCTGGAGTGCTTTTCCCTCAGATATGTTAATGCCAAATTCCCTCAATTCCATGAAAATTCCATTTAAATTTCACCTCACAGAAGTTTTCCTGGACTGCCATATAAAAAAGAATGAATTCCCTATCACTTTTTCTTTGTCTTCTGTACCCCTGGACAGTTTACTTCTTAACATATTTATTTGAGGTAGTATGTATTTATTCATTTCTTTAATACTTTTTCTAACTTTACATTGGTACAGGAGCTTCCCATCTTTTTTTTTTTTTTTTTTTTTTTTTTTTTTTGCAATGCTAGGTAGCAATCCCAGGGCCTTGTGCATACTAGGCAAGTACTCTTCCATGAAGTCATGGCCTCAGCCCCCAAATGAACTTAGAGAAACTGTTAATTTTCTACTGTTAGCCCTGTCTATAAATTAGGACCTGGCACACAATATACACACAATGCCTACCTAATGAATGAATAAATGAGTGAATAGGGAATGCTAGCAGGAAAAAAGTAGAGTCATGAAAGATTTCTTTAAAAAGATATGCTTCATCTGACAAAATAACTCGCATTCCTTGACACTAGTCAAAAAGTTGGGAAAGAAAAAGAAAAATTGTTCCTACTGTTTCCACCATGCAGGAGCAAGAAAACGACAAAAAATCCACATTATTAGTAGCTGTCTTACCTTCCACAATGTACTTCAGTGTTACCATGTAAAACTGCATTATGGACAGAGCATAGCACATACATATAAAAACAAGTAACTTCCCTGGGAAGCATCAATACAGGAAGTCCCCAGATTACAAATGGGCAATGTTCTGCACATTTGAAAGACAGTTGTTTAATCATCTGCTAGATTCTTTCCAACCTTTCTGGTTAGGTTCATTTCACCCTTGCCTGTGCATTCAGTCATACCCTATTCCTGGAATCAAGCCCATGACTAAGCAGAGGAATTCCATGTGGCTAGATTTTCTAGTTTGATCAACAAACTAATACTTCATTTATAAATGAGCTGAAGCACAACATACATAATGATGGAGCAATTCTGCATGCTGTGAGTAGGAGGGTAGGTACTTAGATTGAAGGGCCTTTAAAATACTTTTATACTAGAAGGACAATACCATGTATAGATAGAAGTGTGGGATTTGAAGTCTGTGCACTTTCAAATCACACTTTTGCTCTGATCTTACTACATTTGTGATCTTGGTCTAGTTTTTAGTGGTTTATAAACTTAGCTTCTGCAACTGCAACTTGAGGGTAATCCCCGAGATGTACTTCTATTACTGTTAGGATGATTAAAAGGAATAAACATTCAGAACAGAGCCAAAGATCCACAACATTACATACAATATTATCTGACTTGTACTTTGCATTACAAATGCTATTTTACACATCTTAAGAACCCAATAATCCAACATAGTCCCTGATATACTAGTGCTTAGTATGTCTACTGAATGAGTATTTGGTATGTACATTGATTCACATATTTCAGAGGGATTAATTTAAGGATAGGCAAGAAGGTCTTAATGTCCAAGAACTATCCTTCTAAAATGTCTTTTTTACCCACTTCTCTTTCTCTTTTCAATCTACTCACAGGTTTACTAAAAGATCTTTCTTCTTATATCTTATTTTTCAGTGAAAAGAGCTGTAGGGAACATTAAAAATAAATACCATTCACCTTGCATCTCTTTTGTTTGCTTGGAATGTTGGGGTTAATAGTTAATAAAAACCCATTCTATCAATTGGACATTTTCTTTTAAAAGGAAAATTTCATTTATACAAGCTAGGTCTGCCTTCCAATGTGGTATCCTTTACTTCAGTATATAAGGTTTTACTTGCAATCAGGTGCCCAACCCATTTCTGAAGATATTGTTGGCCCAATTATAATCTATATGATGCCTTAGGAAAGTTGTTCATTGACATGATTGCTTGGCTTGCCCCAATGAAGCCTCTTTCTCTTGGAGCTCTCATTCCATTAATCTGTACCTGGGGAAGACATCTTATCTGATTCTAGGTCCTGAAACTAGACTTCTAATACCAAATGAAAGCTCTCCCCAGTGTTAGGCCTATAGATATAAATTTGATTTCTGGTGTAATGGGCAATGATCCTACTTTTTGAATCCTACCTCATGGCTACAACATATGGATAAATTGCTTTCAAACTTACAATTTAATCCTCTTAGCTTCTTCCTCTCCAAACAAATGTATGAAAGTGACTTTAATAAAACACTTGGGATATATGAGAAACTGTTTAATATTTAACTTTAATTTTTCCTGCTGGGCCCAGCTGATTATTTTCTTGCCATTGATGGCTAGTGCAAATAATTGGTCCCTATCCTCTTTATTGCCTCCTTGATCTATTAAGTCTTCATGCTTTCTTCATGAATGAATATGCCAGTGCCACTTACCTAGGTATAGTAAATAATTTACAAAAAATTTGAGGCATAGTAAATAATTTACAAAATATTTAGGCTTACATAAGCCCAATAATATAAGTTTCAATCTTTACCAAATTTCTCAATCTTATATTTTTTATTCACTCTATTTTTTGTTGTTGCTGTTCATTTACTGTATCTATCTGTCAACTTACATAAACCACTAGTGTAATTCACATCTGCTTTAAGCCGATTGGTTCATCTCTTCTTGGTTTATAACCCACAGCTGTTACTTTCTACACATTCATATATGGAGAAGAAAGTAGATTTCAACCTTAAATCTACTTGACATTAATGGATAAGTGGATAACTGACCATGGTACTAAGAATTTCAAAATCTTCCTCTATTAAAGCAGAAAAGTACAGTCATGTCCTTGAAGGTGACATGGATTTGTCAAAACAGAGGATAACCATGGGTCCCATGGTAGTTAATGATCTTAGAGCCTTGTTTAGAAATTATTGCCTAAATGTGAGCAGTAAATTGATCTATGCAAACTTATTTCTCACCACCATACATAGTTTGTACTGTAGATTTGACTTTTGGATCCCAAAGAATAAAGCATTCTTGTTGTGTCCCAACAAACAGCTTCTTCTGAGAACCACAGCAAAAAAAGAATTTTTACAAATTCATCTCCTAATGCACACCATTTTTAACTTGATTCTTTAACACGCCAAGAACACAGATTTTATGAGGATTATCAGGTCAATTGAGTTTCTTTAGTAAAGTCTTTATTCATTCAAAATTATCTTACATCACTTAATAAGTATGGAGCATACATTAATGAAACAGGAATTTCCTAGGTAATTTCCTTTAAGTATCAACCATTGTTTAAAAGAAAACAAAAGGATGTTGACCGGCTAGTAACAGAATAAGCACACTTCATTTTTAAAACTGTTTGCTGTGATTATTTTCACTGAACCCTTCTTACTCTCACCACTGGTAACTGCAAGATATTGGAAATTGAATGGGGGAACTCGCATGAATAATGATTTAAATATAGTTAAAGTTTATTATATATATATATATATATATATTGCTCTAACCAAGCTGGCTTTGGTCACTTTGGTTCAGTCAAACATCTACAATAGTTTCTTAAAATAATTACTGACAAGTGTAAATTCATAGCAAGGCATCTTCATGCATTTATTTGAAGGGAGGCTAATTACACAAGAAAATACAATCTGATAATGGAATGCTGTAGCTGGTTTTGGTGATGCTGGAAGTAAAAGTTTTAACAATAACAATAAATGTGGCCTCTCTATGTGTCCATCTGTCCACAATCTCCTGCCATATGCCCCTTCTTTAGAGTTGCCATGGAAGTAAAATTTCCATCTCTTGAGTTACCTAATTTCTATGTGGGAATAGATGGGTATCATTTTCAATTTTAACTGAAGTAAGTATGTTAAGACATTTGTTTTCTCCATTGTTTTGTTTTATTTCCACTCTTTTTTTCTAAGCAGGTCACATTATATTTTTCACTTCAAGATAATGGAAATAAAGGGAAAGGTAATCAGACTCTCTTCTCAATTTTTTTAAAAAATTATCTTCTCAGTTTTGAAAAGAAAATTATTGGCTGAAGTATTTAATTTCGGTATGTGTGATAGCAGTTGTTTTCTTCCTAATAATTTGTCCCACAATCTCTGCTTTAGAAATTACCTTGTCTTTTTTTTTCCAGGCTCCAGCTGAGAATTGATAATGGGCTATACTCTTTGATATATATGTTCTAACTGTACCACATCTGTTATTTGACGTATTTTCCTATTAAAGAGAAAAAAAAATAAGCGTGTGAGAGCACCATTAATTACCAAGTAATAAGATTAGAAATTTTCATGTCTCCTGCCTTTGTGGTGGAAAATTCCATGCTGGTTCTCAGATTAATTTCTCCCGTGTTTCCTGCAATGTCCATATCCCCAAATCTCTTACCAACTGACTTATTACTGTGCATAGCAAAAAAGTATCTAATGGGAGAATAGAAGGTGGGAGGAATAAGGTAACGAAATGAATTCTATTTCCCTCGGCTTTAGGTGCTTCTTCTATCAAGGACTGCACATCCCTGCATATATGCTATGGTTCTAGTATTCACTAGAAAGACTCTGAAGCCTCAATTACAAATCCCAAGGAGCAGGATCCATCCTGGATGCAGCTATAGCACAGTTGATATGTCTCTTTACTCCTCATAGTATTTCCTTTCTTTGTTTCTAAAACCTTGGAAGTAACAGTGGCTTCTTTCCATGTTTGCTAATCTCTAAGCTGCTTCACTATTCCTTGTTCAACTTCTCAATTATCTCAACGATTTCTAACAAGTTCCTCATGTTCAATTCTTTCTATCAGACCAGAGTTTTTCAGCCTAAGCACTATTGTTACATTGAGCACAATCATTACTGGGGCAGGCTTCTCTGTGCCTTATAGATTGTTTGCTGACACCTCCACCTCTAATCAATACATTTCAGTAATACATCTGTAATTGTGACAGCAAAAAATGTCTCTAGACATAGCCAATTGTCCACTGGGGGGGGTCAGAGTCACTTGGTTAAAAATCACTAAATTACACAATACTATCTGCGAGACTAAATTGTAACTGATGTATTCCTGCAAACCATATTTACACCTGTCAACATTTGAAGTGACATTGGGATAAAATCCCATGGTAATATCTGTCTGTAACAATGATATTTAGAAATAAGGAAGTCTTGATGGTTAAATAGATGAATCAGTACATTAACATAGAAAGAAATATAATGTACTGATCTGCTTTTCCCCAAATTAATGAGTACTTTATATTATACATTAGATATTAGCTGTAACATATTTCTTTTTATTAACCATTATAGGGCTTTTCAAATAATTTATACATTGTAATACCATATACATTAAGTAAATAAAATTAAGTTAACTGATAAAGGAAAATATCACAAGTGCAAAATATTACTAAGAAGACATATACAATGGTAGTTTTTTTCTCACCTCACAAGATAACCATGCCATTATTTTCCTTAGCATTAACATCTTCTCAGCATAAATACACCATAACCCTTATTTTGTACTTAGATTTTCCTCTTTTTAAGCTTTTATTGCTGATTTTTAAATTTGCTGTGTCCTCATATCAGACCAATGGCATGATTTAAAAGTATAATTTAGTCATATACTTATTCATAATTTGTTGAACTAATGTAGCAGTGAGATTCATGAAAATTCCATTAATAATTCTGTATACTTTGTTCCCACTATCAGAAAGCAATTCTCAATTTCATTTAAATTATGAGGGAGAAAGCAAATATGTGAAGATACTCAATTCACCAGTCACTATATATTGATAATTTTCATATATAAACAATTTAGCATGTAATTTTCCTTAAAATATGTGTATATGAATCAATATTTATAAGATTTATCATATTTAAAATTAATTTTATCATTCATATATTTGATGCTATATATTTTTTTAATTATAGCATTTGCCTCATCAGTGTGAAATGTACACTTTGCAATGAATTATATTTACCTCATCAATGTTTGTTTACCAAAATTAAGATGGCTAATAAAAGAAAGAAAATTGAATCCTTCTTCATGTAATAAAACCACTTTTTTAAAAAATAGAGGACAAATTTAATAAATCCCACATTTCATAACTCATATAAAAATACAGATGGATGAGTAAAACAGCAAAAATGAAACTCAAATACATTGCCAGTGATTTGAGCATTCATTTATGAAGTTACCATGCATATGACTGATTACTCATCTCACAGAATTTTGTGGTTTCAGAAATGGAACAAAAAATAAGTTTACTCGAATGTTCATTCTAAATTTAATGATTTTTTTATAAGCCAGGATACCTTATTCTTTCAATTTCTTAGAGCATTGCTCCTATTGCTATGAGATAAAAAGAACATGAGAATAGATCCCAGGACATACAACAGACATGATTCAAATTTTGAAAGGCATTTGTTTTTAAATATTTACCATTAATATGGTATATAAAAAATTAATTTAGATAGAGGAACATAACAGCACATTTTTCAACATATTGACTTCTGAAAATGCCATAGCATCTTAATTATTTGAATATCCTTCCTCTCCTTTCTTTAGCTTGTTAGTCTTACTTTTATTCAAATCTAAGTAAATACTTCTAGCCCTGTAAGGTTTTTCTCAAGGCCCACAGCTACAATTACATGTCACCTGTGTTCTCATGCCATGCTCTTCATCTTTTCTCATATTTTACTTCAATTTATCACTTATAATTATAGTTTTGTAGCAGTCTGTATGCCTCCCTCCCACGTGAGCCCAATAAGGCCGGAGACCATATGTCATTTAGTTTTCTAATCACGGGTCCAGTTTCTCACAACCTTGCTCGTAGTAGAAGCCACTCACAACAATTTATGAAACTGAATAGAAATAAATATTTTAATTAATTTTCATTGAGAAATGAGATAAAATTTGAAACCTTTGCATGATAATTGCAAAGCTGTGAATAAAAAGAAAGATCACAAGATACTTTGAATAGAGTACTTTCCACATATCAGATTTATTTGGGTAAATAATTTTTAGAGTATGTAATTTTGCTTTAAGGATATTATCTGTCCAAGAATATTTTTCTTAATTTTTACCCAGTTTTGCTTTTCAAGATGAGGCTCCTGATAGTAACAACCAGGTAGCAATTTAAGGTACACTATTCTTCTGACCTGTTGATATGACAAAGAGATGCTGGAGAAAGACACTCTTCATAAACACAATAGCATCCCAGGGAAATCCTGTCATATTTATGTTTGAAATAGAATTGAATTTTACTGAAATATCACAAAATCATTTTGAATAAAGCAACAGTGATTGAGCAAATAGTCTTTTTTATACAATTTTGATGTTTTTTGAAAAATCATTATATGCACTGCACTAATCAATAAAGCATTTTAATTGTAAGAATGCTTTTTCTTGTACATACAATTCCAACTATTTCCAAGAATGTGACAGGAAATTAAGATTTTAATGAAAGTCTAAAGACATTTTTGTTCTTTGGCTAACATTCTTTCAACCTGTTGCCAGACAACTTTGTACTGCTTTTCATAAGCAGCGTAGCATACTACATGTGAATAAGGCAATGCACATGCAATAGGACTGCACAGCATTCACACTTTCTAGGTGAAAAGAAACAAAAGAGGATGGTATAAAACTAAATAAGTTCACCGTCTATTGTTAAATAAAAAGTGAACAGGAGAAATAAGTAATAATCTCTAGGTTTATATAAGAGTTCTTTACACAAATTAGAAAATGAGTGACAAGTATAGTCAGAGTCATAAGCCAAACGGATTTACACATCACTAGACATTCCCTACCAGAAATAAGGCTTTGCAAACCCGGGCATTTTTTTCTGTGAAAATGAGGTTGCCAGAAAAAAAATGTAAGACTGGCCAACATGATTCTAATTGTGCTGCTAGCTACTGTAATTGTACTTACTGGACTTCATAATTAACTATACTTCTAACTCTCATGTCTCATAACCCAAAAAGTGATAAAGCAAAAGAAAGGATACATCATTTTTGTGTTACAATCATCATAATAGGTGTCCCCAAACGAAGGACTCCTCACAAAACTTTCTTAGATTTAAGTCAGGGCTCTACAAATTATAGCCCTTAAGTCCAATGTAGCCCACTGTTTGATTTTTAATAAGGTTTTATTGAACTACAGCTACACGCCTTGATTGCCTGTGAGTACCTTAAAAGCAGAACTGGGTAGTTGCAATAGTATATAGCACACAAATTCTGAAATATTTACTTTGTGGCCTTTTAGAGAAAAAGGTTTCCTTGTACGTCCTGAAAGCAGTGGTGCCTTTTGAAGCTATGGTAAAGCATAAAGAAAACTGTTGCTCATGTGTGTTTTACTTGAAAAGCAAAATTGTTTTTCTGCATCCATAGGCTTGTTTTCCCCCTAAAAGAAGTTTAGTTTCCAATTTCATCGAACAACAGAAGCAGAAGTACTCTAGTAGGTATGCTTAGTTACATGAATAACTCATGAAAGTTTGAATATATACTTCCTGGCAAAATGCAATGTTAGAAACCTAGAAATATGACTGCTAGTACTTTGAAGAGCAATATATGGAAAGCCTCTTTTTAAACTATGAAAAGATTTATTCTATATTCTGGGGACATTTTAGCATGGAGAGTTGAGGTTTGCATAAAAACACAGCAGAAAGTATAGTTGTCGTGATTATTCTCTAGTAAACTATTTGGCCCTAAGACAAGTTATGCTGGAAACAAATAAGCAAAATAAAATTGGTCAATAAAAACTTAAACTCATATGCACTAAAAAAAGATAAGGATTTACTTAAAGTAAATTTATCCTCATAGATCCAAGACTATTTTTTATCCTTTGAATCAATCTTACAGGGTACCTTCAGTTGCTTTTGAAATTCAGCTTTCTATGACTACATGTACAGCCTATGTGTTTCCTCATAACATTCATTTGTTGATTTCCATTTTTACTTCTATTGGATGACCGTATTGTATGTGTAAATGTCTCAATTAAATATATACTTCTGATACTTGGGCACTTCCATAGGGAAAAATATCTTATTAATTATTTACCTCAAGCACTGAATCCAAGAGAATTAGAATAATCTGAGTTGAGCCTATCTGATGTGTGCTTTAAAAACAAAGGACTGGAATAACTCACAATCTAAGAGGCACTCTCATTCTCTGGATCTTTCCTCAACATACAAACCAGTTCACTTTCAGGGCCTTTGTACCAGCTGGTCCTCAGAATGC